TGCAGATTTGAAACCAGCATCAAAAAATACGTCTAGCAGTGTTGGTCTCATTTCAAATGGCCACTTCGACTTGGGATCCTTCCCTTGTGAGTAAAGAATTAACATATTGTCTGAGGCCTTACAAGAACACCTTTATATCGAGACATATATCATGCCGAGGCGGAGGTGGTGTAGTGGTAAGTGGCGCACTATATCACACGCACGGTCAGGGGTTCGAATCCCGGATCGATGCCCGCCTAGGCCAACCAAGTCTTCCAACCCTCTGGGGTCGGTAATTCGGTGCCAGACTTGTCTGGGAAGGTAAAGGCACTGACTTGTACATCGGCTGGCCACAGTAAGTCATTGTATAGGCCGCATACGCACTCATTACGCCACTACGACTCAGAATGGAAGTCGAGTGCGGGGGCGCATCCCTCAGACGGGATTGATTAACGCCAAAAATTTTATCCTTTAAACTTTATCATGCCGAAATTCATCGAGATTCGATCATAGTCACTTCTGAAGGATGTGCCAGCCAACTACTCTCGACTTGTCGAGGAAGAACTATCACTGCGAAAGAAGATCATCGTAGCTTACCAGACCACTTACTTCCTACAACGCATCGCGTAACACGATTCCGAACTTCATTCCAAGGAAGAGGGTGAACGAGGTAAACGGCCACCCAGCTAACAGCAGTCAAATACAAGAATTGCAGCTACGTATGCTAAGGACTGCCTTGAGAAGCAAGAAGAATCAAGTGCTCTTTTTGTTGAACAAATAAGTGTCTAAAGAACTGTGTTGTCAACGATGTTATCGCCCTATCGCCTTTGGAGGTAGGTCCTGGACGAGTCAAAAATTATTCGCGATTATATCTGTTCAATCGTCATTCTAGGGCTTTACAATAAATTCATCTTTCTAGGCTTACATACCTAGAAAGATGTAATTCACAACGGGAGGTTCCCATCTATTGTGGACCACCTTCAGACTGACAACAGTGGGAGCCTGGGTCTATACCACCTAGAGTTACTTTATAGGCGGCATAAGTCTTTCTGAGAATGCGCTATCAGTTCTGGATCTAGGTCCCAGTTTCGAATCGACACAGGTGATATGTCGCGGAACGCTGTGGGTGGTCTTCATGCTCTACAGGACAACCTGTGCCAAAGGCTGAATATCGGGAAAACGAACATGAGGCAAGGTCAAACTTTCCCGTGATACCTTTCTCCCTTCTTTTCTTCCGATCTCACGACCCCAATCCTGCCGTCGATGTGAAATTCCGCCTCCTTGTTATGTACGTTTTGACCATTCTGAGGCGGCACAGCCCACACGTTTCCAATACCACCGCAGCGCAAGAACAAGGGCCTACCAAACTCAAAAACCTTTCAAACTTCAAAAACAACAAGTTTTCGGTTAGCGACAAGGGAGGCGAGTTTGTGGTTATGCGACGAAATCTGGTCATTGCCATTACACAAGTCTGTCTAGAGAATTGGACCTTTTACAAGCCATCATCGGAGGGGGGATACAGAAGGCAGTACCGTCTTTTAAACTGGGTTCGGTTGAACACTTTTTTTGACCGTTTATATTTCTTTTTTTCGCTGTTTTTCGCGTTTTATGCTTTACATTGTCCTAATGTAGGCATTACCTATCACTATCTGTGAAATACCGGATACCCCTAAATTATAGTGAACGGTGCCTTTAAGCGTTGTAGAAGCCGTAGAGATAGGGTCATTCGCACCGGGACCTTGCACCTTGCCTGTTACACCTTGCACGCAGGCAGCGCACTGCAGCCAGCTATCGCACTGCTTTCAGACTTCGACGTCCGTCCGTCCGTCGGTCCGTTCAACGCGTGCTGCGACGCGGTCACTTGCGTGTCGCAACGGCGGATCTAGAATGGTATTGAGAGCGCTGGCACGTGATCTAGTGTTGTCAACACCAGTGAAGAGCCGCCGTTGCGGCACGCATGCGACCGCGGTCGCGCACGCGTTGAACGGATCGACGGACGGACGGGCGGGTGAATCGTTGAAGTCTGAAAGCAGCCTACGTGCAGTGCGGCGTGCATCCAAACAGCCAAATACTTCTTCCGTGCCACTTTTTTGTGAAATCCTCGTCAGACCGTTAATTTTACTAATTTTTGAAGCCTCGTATTTTTCAAATACGCTGGTTTTGCGTCTCCTTCGCCTCTTACGCACTATTCCGGACTATCACTTCATACTCGTCTGGAACTAGATAACCCACCGTTATCATAAACTGTGCCCTCGATGCTAGTCCTGTTCTGGTCCATACTGTCTACTAACAACAATTGTGTTGTCATACGGGAAATGCAAATGGTATTTGTGCAACTAAGCAGCATAATAAATAGATCCTATTGTCGAGATTTGCCGTCAGCCCGCAACGAAGAGGCTCGTTGTAAGTTCTGAGGCCCCTGAAGCTGTGGGGTCATTTTTATCATTGCTTCTCAGAGGAATACATGACGCCCTTGCCTCTACGAGATTTAGAAGTCTCTCCGTGACTTGCTTCGAGACCATATATGAATCAGATCAGAACCATATACCTTTCACTACTTCAATGGAGAATATTATTATATTCAAACCATAGAACGTTACAACGAATAGACGCTATCGTGGCCTTGCCATGGAGGGACAATCTCATTTTGCAATTGCATGCGGCAAAATAGTTTTAAGGACTTGCTTAGTGCCAGGCGTGATTTTGTTTGGGAATGAAAATATCCTAGACACTGTTGATGTTAGCCAATAATTAGCTAGTGATTATCATTACCGTCTTGATTCAAAAGATCCCAATGTTATAAGTGGGTCTTAACCATGAATGCCTCACTTATGGCTCATATCACGGCGCTGAAAAAGTGCGCACGATATTTCGTTCAACGTCTGACTTTTCCAAATCAAATTCCAGTCAGACATAAGCAATGAAGGTTGCCACCAGCAAAGGTTAACTCTGATGAAGGCCAATAACGCATGAGGATAATGAAATTAGCTAAATCTTCACGAATAGGTAAATACCTATAAAGATAAGGAATCAATTAGGCAGTGGTAGCTAGTGATGTATTCTATCACTCAATAAAAATAGTAAGCATCATTCAAAGCACCACTTTACTGGGCATAGTAATCAACTACAGAAGTGTCACTACGTGATTCGTAACTCAAAGAATCAAAGAATCAAATACTCTGGTGACAAAAGAAGTTTACGATGATTAAAAGCAACAGAACGATACTCCTCAGGTCCTTAGGTGTCATTATTAATTACCAGCTGTGTTAGTTTCTTTTGTGTCAAAATTATGTCAGTCCTAGTTCTTCGGGTTCCTTTCCAGATAGTTTGTTACTTCCAAGATTAAATCATTCACTTATAAGAAGAATCTTTGGGTTGTTCGAGCATCTCAAATCCAAATCTTTTACAAAAAAGGGACGCCCGGCGCAGCCGAGTGGTTCGCGTGGTCCAGCCGATTAACGGAAAAGCTGAAGCAGGGTTCAACAACACTTAAGAGCGTGTAATTTTCGGTAAGTAGCTGCTAATCCCCTTTGGCGCCAATTGTGAATCCTTTCACCTTCATCTATAGCTTCTCCCTTCATCGATAGGTTGAGCTGTAGGGAGAAGCTATCCTTCGTAGGCGGTTGAGCGCCTTTGTCCGCGTGGAATATCGATCGGCGCCTCGCCGACGCCCTTCCCTGTTGACCACACGTATTGACCATAGACAAACCGAAAGTATGAAGACTACCAGCAAGATGAATTTCGAAGTCCCGTGAATGTGTTACATAGTAACCCTGACACACGCTCGAACGCCTCTAATCACCGGATGCTTTCATAGTCCACGACCAGTCGCGCGGCCAGTCGCTCGACTGGTCGCTCGACTGATCGCGCGATCTGCTCGGGACCCTCCACGGCGGCACCCATAACTAGCGCGGCCTCCTCGACCGATCGAGCGACCAATTGCGCGATCAGTCGAGCGACAAGTCGCTTGCGACTGGTCGCTCGCAAAATCGTGGACTATGAATGATGCCACCCCCACCAATAGGACGCAACAAACAGGTACCCTGAGTGAGGCCCGTGGCATGGTATTGCGGCTTCAGGGGGGTTATTGTATCTCACGTTCGCGAAATGTTAAAATCTAACTTCTGTTCAGCCGCGCCATTTCTTTTCGCCTGCGTTCTCGGATCCATGAACTTCATTGGATTTTTTCAATTCAACTTAACCAATTCAATTTTCATTGGATTGATTTTTCATCGGTTTCATTGGATGGATGTGGGGTCACAGTTGAATCCGAGACGACTATCAAGGATTTGGTGCGAGCGTGCGCGCGACCACATATCGATCCATTTCCCCGCGGGCGTGTGCAATGAATTTCCCTCACATCCTACGTCCTCTTCTTGGAAGAGCTTTTATAACGTTCGTTTGAGCACCAGTGGAGCTATTTGGAGCGGGAAACAGTCCAGTTCACTGCCCCGCGTGAGCACCTACATACCAGCATGTTTACCCTCGGTATGACGCGACACACTCGATATAAACACCTGTTTGTGTGGTTCATGAGTTTCTGCAACGCGGGGTGTAAATCCCAATTGGCACTTATCAAAAAATCAATGTAAATAGTCCGTGCTTCGAGAGGTACATCAGATGTGTTCTACGGAACACAGTGAGAGGTTTTAGCCAGTTCATTGACGAACTTCTGCCAGCTTCCATGACAGCTGCCCTCAGCAGAATTATATCTCTTCCCTATACATCGCGAAGGGGATGTTTCCGATCGGAAGTAGTTTAGTAACGATCTGATATGACTGTAAGCTTTTCTTTTTGGGCACCTTACCCTCATTGGGCTCGCTAGAATTACCCACTGCGCGTAATGCCGTCACTCGCTTACTGTTTTTCTTCTGAATATTTTTTGTTTCTATGATTTCAATTACACTCCGTCAGAGGCAGGATAGCTGGATGGATAACTTCACTGCTCTTTTCAATGCATTCGAAATTCAAACAGATCATGATAACAGATGTCTTTTTCAACTACAACAAAATAACGTAATCAAGCAGGTAACCGGTTTTAATTTCAGAGCGAATAAATGAGTTAGTAGAGCAAATTTGTAGTTCTAAACCCCTTTAACTTTACTCTTGCAATTCAGAGTATTTTTTTGTTGTTCATAGTTAGTGATATCCAGGGAACCATTGCAAGACTGAAGGAGAAAGTCGCACAATACAAAGAGTTGGAAGCTGAGTACAAAAGGAGGCGTGAAAGTGCTGATTCCCGACATGAGGAGCTGATGAAAAACCTATCTTCGAATCTAACTTGGTTGGTGCCTGTCGCATAATTTTATATCAACATAATCACGCATTTGTTTTTATCGTTTCCTATTGATTCGTCATTTCAGTGCGAAAGTTCTTCAAGTTAAATTCGATAAGCTTACCGAGCAGTCCACAGTTCAAGCGAAAACTGAGCAGGAGTGTGAGTTTCGTGAACGATAGTTATCTTTACACAAGTTGTGTTTTGCTTGTTGTTGTTCTGCATTGTTTTGTTTGGTTTTGCGGTTCTTTTCTTTGACCGCTCTGTAAAATAGCTGGAAGTGATGTCATTTGTGGCACCTCATGGACGCCAGTCTGCTGGAACTCGAAAAGAGTTCATTTTAAGTGCTTCATAAACTTCTTCCGGAACGAAAAAGAGATCCACGCTCGTGTTTTGTCTTGCAGTTGCAGAGTTTTGTGATGTCTTGCTTCACATCTTCACAAAATATCGGGGAACAAGTGCTTGTAAAATCCCTGCGAAGCTCTGTATGCAGGTTTTCAATTTGAGGAGTATTTAATCGAGGAATGGAATGAAAAGTAAATGAATTAGAAGAAAAGTCGAGCTTCCAACGAGTCACTGAAAATCCTTACGGAATCCTGAGTTCTAATGAAGTTCTTAGTGGAGGAGGCTGAAGTAAACGGCTATGGAGCTCCGGCTTAGCTTGACTTCTGGAGCTCTATTCGGCATCTTGATTTATGTAGGCTAACCGTCAGAAGCTTTCAAGAGACTGATTTGGGTGCTATTATTTGCTTAAGAGAAAGAAAGAAGAAAATTTGTGAGGAAATCATTTTGTGCGTTGGAATTGACTTTCGCTCATGAAGTTGATCATTACACAGTCACTATAGATGCTTGTGCATAATGAAATAATGGCGAGTTTTCAACTAGCTAACTTCACAACATTGATGGCTCAAATTTCATGTTCACTATACAGAGTAGTGTTTTATTTTTATTCGTAAGGTAATTCGTTACAGTGCGAGCAAAAATATGCGACTTAAATGCGATGGTATCTCGAATCGCGGTAGCTAGAAATCAGCTCTGCAGTTCCATCCAAAGTTTGAAACAGCCGGTTCCAGTCGCTCCTAATTCTGTTGCAGGTACTTCGTTCTTTTCTTTTTTCTCTCTTTGAATTCGTCTCTCCTCGATAGTGAGCAAGATTATAGTTAAATTTCATTGTTTTTTCGGCAACTTACCTGAAAAATCCATCTATTCTTACATTTTTGAACTTCAGTGATACAAGAGATGAGGAAGAAATTGTTAGGAAAATTCAAAATGCGTTGTGATGCATTTGATATGACAGTAAGTTTCCATGCTTACTTCTCTTCTTATAGTATCCTACTTGAAGCTTCTTTATAGGCTCTTGTAACCGAACTGCAAGCGATTGAACAGCAGAGGCAAGTAAGATTGGAGGTATCGGAAGAATTACGAGTAAAATTCGAACATTCCTCAGCCCAGGATGTTGATAACGGTGTGTCTTTGATCGGTCTTCCTTCGTCTTCTGTCGTTTGGTGCTGCTGCCAAGCTAATCATCAGCATTAACTTGCAAGTCTGCTTTATAAGTTGGCTTCGAAGCAAATCTGCTTTATAAGTTGGCTTCGAAGCAAAGTCCAGTAGTTAATCGTCAATGAAATGATTAAGTGGTAATGATTTTTCGTGAAATTATTTTGTCTGCAATTATGGCTGCTTCTTGCCAAAAATCAAGTGTAATTTCTTCGTAAAAGCTTCAACGTTGGACCGCAGGTGATTGACAACAGTCCCCTTCTGCTAAGCTGCTACTACATTCCGTTCAGACACATGAATAGATGGCACGTTCTGCTGTGGATAGCCACCACTGGTCTTCGTAAGGAGCTCTTTTGTCTGACTTCTCGTTTTCTGAGGTCCTTCAGAGGAGGATGGTGCAGCTGTCAATGATTTGGCTGTTGTGAGTGGTGAAAAAGATTTTAGTCGGTCCTAACGTAATTAGAATGCAACGTAACTATAATGAGTCTCGTTGATCCATTTCTGAGTTTGATCCATTTCTTCGTTGCAGCTGCTAAATGTCCTTTTCTTTGAGTTGCATCACTACTTATTGTAGTGTCGTTGACAAGGGTAGGCGGTTCGAATCCCTAAGCAGACGACCCCGAGTTTCGCGAAACTTACATTAACCTTCTACCACGAATATCTAACCCATCGCAGCGAGCGACTGTGCGCAATCACAATGTAGCGAAGCGAGCATGGCCACCGTTAGGTGGAAGGTAACCCGTTGATAAGAAGTCTCCCTTCTATCTTTACGACAGAATATCTTCGGTATAAGAGGAGCGCGGTAGTTCCTCTTTGTCCAATTTTGCATCCTTGACTTTTCGTGCTAAATGTTGACAAAGCAATAGCGATATCGAAGTGGAAATACAACTTTTGTTCAACTGTTTATTCATGATGTAGTCACATGTTTAATGCGAGCCATACTTTGTAGCCACTTTGTATTATTGTATATGCTACTTAATGGTAAGTAGTATCAGACGACCCGCCACAGAAAGAAAGGATTGGGTCCGAAGAAAATATTTCACCAGACCAAATCCTTTTCAATACTTGATTGTTCATTCGATAGCAGATCTCTTGACGCCACCGTCGTACCCACACCTCGCCTAGGATAAGTGTTAAATAGTGGAAATCAAAAAATTTTCCAGACATGCTCCAAGAAAAAATCGACATTCTTCGGAATGACTATTCAAACACAGTTGGTGAAGTGAAAAAGGTATGAGCTTCCTATATTATCTCTCTATATATAAAACGGTATTTTTGTGTGTCTGTTTGTGGGTTGGTTTGTGCGTTCTTCCTAAAGTCAAGTAGGCACGAAGAAGAGTATGAATGGCCGCTTTCAGAGTTCGACGACCGTCGGTTCTAGAAGGGTGCTGACAGCGTCTGATCGGTACTGGGCGCTGTCAACACCGTTCTAGAACCGCGGTCGCGGCACGCACGCGACCGCCGTCGCGCACGCGTTGAACGGACGGACGGACGGGCGGACGGACGGACGGATGAATCGTTGAAATCTGAAAGCAGCCAATGTCACGCGAGTGTGGTGAGGAAGCAGTTGTGAAATGGGAAGTCAACCGTTACTGTTTATATTGATACTCTAACAAGTCGTAGGTAAGCTGTAGTGGGCATGTGGTGCACACGTCAGCGTGCGTGGCCCAACTGGTATATCTATGCACCATTTGGGCATCGCACACTAAGGCGTACGTCACAACAAAGAAAGCATCAAATAGAGTTGAATTTTTGGCTCTGGGCTTTATCCCTCAAAATCTGGCTCGGGACTGTATTGGGTCATGTGTTTATGCAACAAAGTCGGGGATCCACTCGGCGCAGAGAAGTCTTCTCCGTCTGCATTGTTGTCCTATACCCAATATTGCCCATTGTCCCGGCGTCTGGTCTTCCTGGAGCGGAACTACGAGGTTTTTTATTGCTTTGCCTATTCCGGAGCATGTCCCGACCCTTGGAAGTTGGGTTCCTCTCAGCTCATATGTGCTCGTTTGATCTCGACCTACGTCCCAGCCATACCAAAGTTGGTCCTTCTTTTGCAATTAATACCTAATTTTAGATTGGGAGAAAGCATTCTCTACATAAAGTTAGTGATGATGATTTCATAGGCGGTAAGTAATGATGATGACTGGATACATGAAGCGATTTCAAACACCAAGGGCATCTTCGTACAGAGTGACGAACCTTTGGTCTGTGCACTGCCCACTTTGTAGGACCCTGCCCACGCCGAGGATTTGACAACTTTCTACTACGACCTTTGATCACTTTTTTCCATTCTGAAACGTTTTTGAACGGAGTTGTAAATTTCTGATCCTAGCTCGCCCACCTCGGTGAAAACCCGCTTATTTCGGAGAGCCGACTGCACTCCCTACCTAATCTTCATAAACTTTTTCCCACATTCTGAATTTTTTCGCCAGAGTTATTGGATTTTCGGTCTTAGCTCCACCCACTCACTGCGCGCCGCGCTCACTTCTAGATTCTGACCACATTTTTCAATGAAGAAGGTATTATTTAGGCTGTGGTTCAATATAATTTAAATTTTTTGCATCAGAAGATGGAACGTTTTTTCGGAAATGAGATATACAATTTGCACTCATCGTGGTAAAAATTCGTAACAACGACAGTTGTACTATTATATACCAGACGGATCACCCGGCTGTGCCGAGCGCTCTTTTCCTTGTAGTGGCCTGTCCTCCAAGTTCCTTCCAAATATGGACGCTCTGGTACAGGAAAAGAGAGGTGTAAATTTCCAGCCAAATGCCATACACACACCCGACACACTTTGTGAGCACCTCGCCTGTCATGAGCAGAGTCCTGCTCAACTTATGTGAGTTTAAGTATCTTGTTTCATTCTCCTGATTCCAACTTGACTGCGCAAGTTTGCAGATTACGTTCATTACGCTCACTCCGCCTTCTACATCCTTCCTGAGCTCCCCGCGAGCGGCAACAATTCAGTCAGTTTCTTCCACGTACCTTCAGTATCCTAATCCTGCCGCCTGTACTCCCACCAAGTCTGAACGCCCATGTACAAATTAACAATTTTGCGGACGCCTCGCCTTTAAAGGCACAGTTCACGAAAAAATGGTTACGGAGATTTGCACATGGTTTGTATTCGACGCTCCCACTGATACCAATTGTGCAGGAATGGGGTCGGAAAACCGAATGGATAGGGCACAATAAGGGGCCGGAGAGTGAGCCACGGTCACCCTCCGCCCCACGCTAGGCTGACTACGAAATCTATTTGCCGTTCACCACTTTCGCATTAGAGCGAAGTTGGTGAAAAATCGATAAGCTGCTTGGCAAATTGCCAGAGACGGTCAGCTGGTCGACCGCCTCCTTCTGGTTCAAGTATTCGGCTGTATTTCTACTATTCGACTAATGTTCTGTTCTATTCCGTTCTAGTAAATTATTCTCAGCTGTCATCAAAAGGATCAGGCACAATAATCTCAAAATCTTAATATCGTCAGTAGAATCCTACTTTATATAATTCGCTAAGTGTGTCTGTTGGTGTGTCGGTGTGTGTATGTGTGTGTGTGTGTGTGTGTGTGTGTGTGTCGGTGTGGGTGTTTGACCGGAAATTCATAACTCCTGTCCCCGTGGACCTAGAAAGCTAAAATTTGGTAGGAGTGCGGAGGGCAGAAAGTGAATACTTATGGCAGGTGGCAGAACCGGATTCCGCTCACAGGGGGCGGGGCGTGCGCGATAGAAATTTTGGGCCGCAAACTCATAACTCCTGTTCCACTGGACCCAGAGCGTTGAAAATTGGTATGAGTACAGGAGGCACGATGGGAGCACCTATGGCTGGCGGCAGGACTGGACTCAGCCTACAGGGGGCGGAGCGTGCGTGATAGAAATTTTAGGTCGCTATTTCATAACTCCTGCCCCATTGGCCCCAGAGCGTTCAAACTTGGTAAGAATAAGGGAAACAGGATGGGAACACTTATGGCAGGTAGTAGGAGCGGACTCCGCCTGCAAGGGGCGGGGCGTGCGCGTTAGAAATTTTGGGTTGCAAATTCATAACTCATAATAATAACATAATAACAAGCGAGCAAGCATTGCAATCCCCTTCGCGTCAAAACTTTAACCTTTTCAATGACGGCAATGTAGGATGTGTCGTAGTCGTAGGTACTCTGTGTCAGGAACTGATAACAACTGATAAGAACTGATAAGGGGCCTCAGAGAACAAAAGGGTATTCATGATCAAATACTGACTCTTTAAAATGTTTCATTCAATAAGACGGGTAAATGCAGTAATAGCGACCGATCAGACATTTCTCCATAACGAAATGAGAATATTGTCCATTTCTTGCTATTAAACTACGACCGTTACGTAGTAAGCTTTGTGACACAATAAAGTAGCACGATTCCTTTTTGTTTTGTGACATATCATTTGTGACTGAACTCATCTGACCGCTAATGATTTGGGATTCCCAATTAATGAAAACTCTGTGGGAAAAATGTTCTATTGATAACGACATCTGTGATAGGCGTTACTATCCATTTCTGGGTACCATTCAAGACATTGGCTTTCAATCAGTTAAGCCATAAATGTGACACAATTTCGAGATGAAGAGCAATGAATCGAGACTTCTAATTAGTATACAATCAATTACAATACAGAAAAAAACGCTCCTAATTCGGAGCTAATGCTGGGAGTGTAGAGCTTTCAAGGAAAAGCAATTTTCTTACAAGAAAAGGGAACGCCCGGCAAAGCCGGGCGACAGCATAAGAAGGAGGGAAGCCTGGCGTTAGCCGGGCGGCCCGACTGGTAAATAATATAAACGAAGAAGCCAAAATCAGCCGTTTGAACGTGTTGTGTGCAATGGCAGACATTACGTCGCATTCGTCTGCTCGCCTGAAAATTCCCTTAACCGCCGTTTTTCCATAATGAAACTCGTCCAACCCCTTTTTCTCTTTTTGACCATTTTGCATTTCTTTTTTCGCTGTTTTTCGCGTTTTATGCTTTACCATTGTCCTAATGTAGGCCTTACCTATCACTATCTGTGAAATACCGGATACCCCTAAATTATCGTGAACGGTGCCTTTAAGCAGAGTCCAGTCATGCCAACTACTATCCCACTGCCCCTGAAAATTTTCACTCCCACCTCTCTCCTCAAGGGAGTAGTCTAGTACTGCGACCTTCCGTAGTGTTCCCATCCTGCCGTCTATGCTCCTATCAAATTTGAACTTTTAGGTCCAGGGGAACAAGAGTTACCACTTTCAAGTCAAACACACACAATAAACACCAACCATACATATACGCATACACATACACATGCACATATACACATACACATATACATACAGACACACACGTAGACAAACCAACAGACACATTTAACGCGTTATATATAGTAGGAAAGTTTATAACCAACAAGGAAAATTTCGTTCAGTTACAAGACCGACAGAGCAGATCCGTAGACCTCATTTTTGACTCGCTTTCCGCCAATCGATATGAAACCTAAAGTAATGTTCACGAGATAAAATCCTGGTGCTGTACATTTTTTTCTGGAGTTTCAACTACAAGTGGTGTAGTATATGCCTTTTGGATGAATTTTTTGTTTTATACTAGAGTGATTTTTATTCTACTCGAGAAAATTTTCAAAGTACTCCAGGTTGCTGGTCAAAAAGGAGCAAATGACATAATACTAACCAAAGAGGATTCGAGTAAAAGTAACCTTCACAAAGAATTGAGCTCAATCAGATCTAAAGTCGGGGTTGTGGAGCAACATACATTGGCGTTAAAACACAAACAGGTACGCTATATTTTTCAGCTGGGAACTGTGGCGCACTGGCTAAGTTACACGTTATATCTTATTACCACAGGCAGAACTTGGAGCTAGATCTGCATCTGCCTCTTTTGAACTCGGCGAGAAGAGCACAAAATTCCAACGAGATGAAATGGTGTTCCAAGCTTCGAGGGAAGAATACGAGAGCAAGGAATCAGAAACATCGAATGAGATAGAGAAGATTGAGGTGATAAATTTGTGTACAACAATGTTAATAACTAATGATTCCAAGTTTTTTACTTTATAGAACAGCTTTCAAAAGCAGTGCAGTGAGCTGTCGCTAAATTTGGAGATAGGCCGTAAAGCTATGACAGAGGTTGAAGCAGAGGTGTGCTCTTCAAAGTTCTGGTTATCTTTCCTGGTAATCTCACTGTAATCTCACTACCTTACATCAAACATTATGTATTCTTTCATTGAAATTTTTATAAATAAATATTGCAGAGTGAGAAATTGAAGGGATGGGAGCGCCTCCTCTTCAAGTATGAAGAAGACCGAAGGAAAATTGTAGAACTGCAGTCCAAACTTACCGAAATGAAAGGGGATTGTGAAGGGTTGCTGAAAAAAGCCGAGGAAAGGAGGGCGAGTCTAGCCAAGGAGGTGGGGAAAATGTCCAAACATACTTCCTGATTTGATGTTATTCTGATAAATCGAACAATTGCAGCCAGAGAATTTCTTCTTCCAGAATAGCTCTTTTAGACTATGAAAATTGGAGAACTTCGGCAGGGTGCCGAATCAAATAAGCTCGCAAATGAGCAAGAGCTTGCAAACACGAATGTACGGTTTTGTTTCTAGTTTTTCCTCAACGATTTATATTGCTGCAAAACGCTTTCAGATGGAAGTGAGCGGATTGCAATGTGAGGTAATGAGACTTGAGGGAGAAGTGAAAGATATGAAAAATAAAAATTGTCAATTGGAAGGAGAGGTTCGCTTAATCAAGCACCAGCTGTTAGCAAAATCGAGCCAGCTGACCGTCGCTAAAGTAAGCTACAATTTGGACTTGGTCCAAGGATGTGATCACTTTAATGTGTATGGTTGATGTTTAAGATTGGCACTTCCAGGAGAAATTCTCCAATGCGCAAGAGTCTGCAACAGCTGCCGTTAAATTGAAGACGCCTACACCAAAAAACAAAGTTGGCGAAGGAGGTAGACAAAAGGTGAATCGAAACAGATGACTAGCTGCCTTCATATAATGTTGGCACTTTGAAAAAAATTGAAGCTTCGAAGAAATCGTGTAAATAATATGAACTTGACTGCGAGGATTACCTTCTAAGGAGTTCTATAGGCAAAGAACATACATATGAATACGCAAACGCAAACGAGGTTTCGTAACTCTATAACCATTGGTTGCATAAAACCAGTTTTCCAACATCACCTTCTGCTAGTGCATCAAGGGAAAAGCGCAAGTGTACCGCTGAAAATATTCTGGATACATGAGCTGTGAACATTTTCCACCTTTCACGGTGGGTCGAGCCGCTTTGCTGCAGAAGGTGCTAGTCATTGAAGTAACCTAACGTCTTCTCTCAGTTTTCCAGTTTTTTTTTTTTTTGGGGGGGGGTGGTCATGTAAGGGTCCCTGTGAGGAAACAATGCTGGGCGCAGGCAAGGCAGTCACAGTAACCGAATCATCCCCACCAAATGTACGTGTAGCACAATTTCGTCGCGACAATGCGTACAATGAAATTTCGCTTCTGACACCTGTCAAAAAGTCGTTGGGTACGGCTGGTGCAAGGGTTCCACCTAACCTACTTCCGGACAGCCGTAGATGATGCGGGAATGGCAGTCAATGCCTTTTTTGAGTTCTTACCTTATTAACACTCAGCGGCCCGCATGGGTTGTAGAAGGGGCCCTCTCACTCCCCCAATCTCGACGTCCAGGGCATAGTGGCAGCCCCATTGTTGCCGTAGTTCGCGTTCACGCCCCCTCGATCGGTGTCACGTTAGACGAGTATCGAGACAATACAGATTGCTATTATTCGTTCTAGGCCCCACGCACATCAGCTAATCGCGCTAATCGCCGAGTAATGAGGCGACGTTTTTCTCCCATTCTTTTTCCTCTGATTTTCTTTTTGCTGCCGCGATCCCTTGTTTAATTTCCTACTCCAAGAGGCTGAAAAAGATGAGCTTCTTTTGCTGTTACTAGGGTTTTTTTGTTTATTTATGCTTATAAGTGTATGAATTTCTGCTTACCATTGTCTGTTATTCGCACCAGGACCCACACACTGTTTAGCTCGTCCGGTGCCTCACTCTTCTTCACTTTTCTGGTTTCATTCTCGTCTAGCTCCCTTTTCAACGTTTTTTTCGAAGCCTTTTTTCACTTTGGAAACACCGATGCACGCAGTTTCTTCACCTCAGTCGCACTTGTTTCGATCTTGTCTTCCATTTTTATCATAATCTGGATTACCCAAAATTGTCGTGAACGGTGCCGCTAAGCTAATGAGTGAATTTTGATGCTGGATCGCCTTTGAAAATTCCACCGCTAAGCTAATGGGTGAATTTTGATGCTTTATCGCCTTTGAAAATTCCAGAAATAAATTTGAAATACCTACTTCTGTCATAGAATTGTGTCGTTTCAATCATTGCGCTATTGCCTTAATGTGGCTGGAAGGTCACAAATATAATCTTCCTGAATTAAGCGTTCAGGAATTGTAGACTAGGCCTAAATATGACTTCTCTAAGTGAAAAATGGCGAACATCGAGCATTGTTGCAGAAAAACCGCTTGCAATTTGTTACAAACCCGCCATCTACGAGACGAAGAGCACCGAAGCAGAATGCAAAAGCAGATCAGCAGTCGGAGGTTAGAATTGTTGTGGTGAAGACATTGTTTCGCTCTCTTTTTCTTGCGTTATGCCCTTCAGTTTTGTTCAAGTTGTACGATTAACGTGGATCTTGAAATGAACTAAGATTCATAATCGGTGAAACTTACTAGGTTCCTGCAAAAAAGAAGGAGAAGCTCACCAATAAGCCCACGTCAAGCAGCCGTCTTGCCAGATCAGCTGGGACAATTCCTAAGACTCCTATTCAGAGCGAACTTCAAAGCGAGCAGGTATGTATAAATTCTTTCAAAACTCCCTCGTAGGCGTTGCACGTTTCTTTACATACAGTTTTCATTTCATTAAGGAATTGACTTTATACCTGATTTTCATAGCTTCACATTAACAGTTCTACATCATGATGCACAGTTTCACAAGGTTGGCGACTCATAGTTGTGTCGAAACAAACTGTACCCAGAACAGCTTACAGCTCAAGGTTCAAGGCTGATATTATTTGACCAGCTGGCTACGTTGTACATGTGGGTGCTGATAAGCAATGGCAAAGAAGTCATTAGGAAGGCGAGGGAAAGGGTTCTCTGTAGTGCAATGAATAGAGAGCATCAACTGGCCGATTTTCGGCCCGTAACGTGCCACCCTTGTCAGGCTTTCAGATGTCGCACTGCGGGGAGTTAATAACAGCTAACAAAACATAAAATAAAATCAATGCGCATGGTTTCAGGCATGTGACGAAAATAGAAAAGGAAAAACTTTGGAATTGGGGAATGTCATTAAAGACCATAGCTCTCTCAATGCAGGCCATCGTGAACAAATCCAAGTGGATCCAAGAAATAGTGACTCAGATGGGGTAAGCGGTTTATATATTCTCTTAAATTATTGAAACGCCATTCTAAGGCCGCAACAATAGTTTATTGGGCACATTCATTCGTTCAGGTCAAGAGTTCCAGTCTGCAGCATACGACTACCCTTGCGTCCACGTTTGCTGAGGAATTCAGTGATTTTTTGAAATCTCTCACATATGCTCGTAAAGACTTGATTGGGGGTTAAACATTGGCTTTCTAGAGCGTGATATTGCAGCCAATATGGATGACAGCATGTTGGTGGAAAATGACGACAACGATGATTTGTTTGGCGATCTCGGCACTCCACTAAATAAGAATCGAACAGTGGTTGGAAGCCCAGTCAAACCTAATATTTTGTTCGTTCCCATCCCATTTATAATTAAACTCGATTCCTTATTTTTCGCTGCAGTTCTCAGTTTCGGGTAAAATGGAAATATTAGTGTTTGCTTGAGACCAGACAGAGAGCATTTACTTCGATTAGCAGCAGAAATTCAGTTTCTAAGTGGGAATCTTCATATAATTCGACGTTTCAGTTATATTCATTTATATTACTTGAATCAGTGTTTTCTTCAGCAATAGCGCCGATGATGATATTCACTTCGAGCCAAATGAACTTTTCACCTCGACACCCCTTATTGTGAAGAAGCAGTAAGTTTATAATGTTTTTTTTGAATCCCATACAGAGAGGATGCATGGGAGTCATCATCGAAGAAGCTTTCAGCTGGTTTTAGTAATAAGAGTGAATGGGTTTGGCGTGTAGATTTTCAAAATTTTCCTAATACTATTGATCCTATCTTAGTGTTTACAATTCGCTAAGTGAACACCGATAGTGTGTGATGTCTTTCGTTTAGAGCCAGGCATTTTGATTTTGGAGTGTGAGAGGAGGTTGTCACAGAAATAATAAAATATTAAGATTTAGTAAAAGTCAGCACCAATTTAGTCATTGGTATTGTAGTTGTGATTCTTCTGCAGCGTTAGGGTCACTAGGCTAGGCTGTGGATTCCCTGCGTGTTCAGATCATGTAAGAACTGTGCTCTTTGTAAAGATCCTACTTATATAATCGGCTAAGTGTGTGGGTGGGTGGGTGTGTGTGGGTGTGTGTGTGTCTGACCGGTAATTCATAACTCCTGTCCCCGTTTACCGGGAGCGTTCAAATTTGGTAGGAGTACAGGTGGCAGGACCGGACTCCGCCCAAAGGGAGCGGAGTTTGTGAGAAATAAATGTTTGAGCGAAATTTCATAACTCCTGTCCCCGTGGACCGAAAGCGTTCAAATTTGGTAGGAGTACGGGCGGCAGGATGGCATCTTTCATAGTTCACGACTGGTCGCGGACCCATCTCAAGAGCGACCGGCGACCGATCGCGCGACTGGTGGCCGGTCGCTAGCGACTGGTCGCTCGACTGATCGCTCGACTGATCGCGCGGGACCGTCCGCGGCGGCACCCATAACTAGCGCGGCCTTCTCGACCGATCGAGCAACCAGTGGCGCGATCAGTCGAGTGACCAGTCGAGCGACCAGTCGCGC